TCCCACTTTTAATTTGTGCTCTTGCACACCCCATACTGAAGTCATGCGATTCAAATGTGAAGAGCAATATGGTTCAGATACCGTATTAAAATACAGAATTTGAAGTCTCATTCTTGTATGTTATCGGATCTCTCATTCATACCAGACTTGGTGTCTTTCCACTCCTCTTGCTTTATTTTTCCAGTCTGAATGGACAGTGTTTGCTTCTTTACCAAGTGAAGCAGTGCTTAGTGCTAAATTGTTAGCCTAGAAGAAAACATTGAGAGCTATTTTCACGTGTCCTGTTCAAGCTCGTTGCTGAACACACTGTTGTACTCTGTTTTAACTGTGTTAATAACGTTGTGTTGTATATGCCGACCAGTTTGGGGGTTTGATGTAGAAATCAAATTCTGTGTGTTGGTCTGGGGTGAACTTAAAATGATGGACAGAATAGATATTGAGAAGTTTCTGTTGGTGATGTAGTGATCTCTAGGTTGCAGTTAACATTGACTGTATTAAATAAGATAACCTCTGATAAAATACTGTTAATAACCTATGATAATATACTGTTACCGTGTATCTGTACGTAATTCCCCTGTTCTTCCTAGATGCATAGTCACTTTTTCAGACCAGTGAGGCTTATTGTGGTACCTTAAAAGTTTGTTGTATCTAGAATAATTAAAAATTAATGATTGTGCTGAGATACAGTGATGGGGGAGAAGAAGGAGATAATGTAGTTTATGGTACTTAAAAAATGAGGCTGCAATGAAATAGGTCAAGCTTTGTTTTGAGTGTCTTATGTGAAATGAACGCAAGTCTTTGATTTTGGATTTTCACTGTTACATTAAGTGCCTGCAACTTTGAAGACTAATGCCTAATTTAGGAGCCAGGCTAGAGTTAGTCCAAAGGAAAATGCCCATAATACTGAGGACCTGGTGGTCATGCTGTTCGCACCAACTGTTGCGTTCTTCAGAGCTGCTCTTACTGTGCTGTACTACTTAGATTTAACTAGTGACATCTTCATTCTTTCTCAGGACTTGCAGTTTTTTATCTACATCAGTTTCCAGAATACATTTATATTTGTCTTTAGGGTCAGCGTAGAGGTCTTCAACCATCCCAAGACACGAGTTGCTCTTTCGTACCAGTATTACACGTTTCTAGCCCACTGTAAGTCAGCATGTATGCAAATTTATTGCAAAAGCTGTCACAAATGTGCTTCTCTGCTTTGAGTGTCCAGAAAAGGGCTTGAAGTCAGGAGTGAGCATTTGTGAGGTTGGTCCTTGGTGCATCCCTTCCCTATATAGCCTTCAGACACTTCAGAAAACGTCTGGAAGGCAGGGGGGCTGAAGCAGGGCTCTTAGGTGGAGACGGACTAGAACTTTTGAGTGGACTTGGATGGCTTCTGCGGGTTCAAGTGTAGCGTTCACTACTTGAGCAGTTGCGGTTGCCCTAGAAGCTACAGTCGCTGATGCTTGTTGTAGATATATGTCAGGAATTTGACAGGCATTCTTGGTTACCTTTCATTCATATATGTAAGTACAATGACTGTTAAAATTGCAGGTAGCTTTGGCAAGGGGGAGTGTGGAGAATCACGTACCTCTTGTTTGAGAGAGATGTTTCATCCCCTGCTTTGCTCTGAAACATGCCTGCCCTTAATTTCAGCAGCATGTCAGCATTTCCTGGACTCCTTAACATCATCATCCCTGTGAAATGAATGCCATTCCAGATACACCTACGGCTTAATGGTTTAGAACAATATTTCTCCTTATGAATCATGGTTGCTATAGTTTAACAATAAGAAACAAAAAACCCTGTGAAACTTCTTATGACCTTCAAGTATGAATTTCAGGGGAAAAAATGTTTCTGGAATATAGAAGTACTTGAATTATCCAATCTGATTTCCTTCCTTAAAGTTCTGTCAAACTACTCTTTGTGTTCATGGAGAAATATTAAAAATAAAATGGCTTTGGTCGTCTGTGATAAAAAAGCTTTTTATTGGGCTTTGCAGCTGTAAAGAACTTCACTTAAGAGAAAATTGATGGCATTTACATGACACAACTTGAATGTCTAATCTTAATTCAGTGATGTGAAAAGCATGTTAATAGCTAGGCTGCAGTCTTCTGCAATATTGCTGGAACCCCAAAAGAAAATAACTTGGTAGGGTTTGTTGGAAGTAATATTTGTCTTGCACCATGATTATAAATGCTCCTAAGCATATGTAATGTCTCCATAAAACCTTGTTGATTAGAACGAGCGTCCACTTTGATATATCTGTAAATGGAGTAATAAGCTAAAATGCGTAGATCAGACTAGCTGCGTTTTCATGTGTGTGGTTGTTGTTGCCTTAAAGGGAATGTAGAATCAGCTTTAGGGGAAAATGTTGCAAAAGCCATTGTTTAATTACTTCCAGTAAAACTCACTTTTGCAAGACTTCTTTCAAAAGCATGTGTAAGATTTTTGCGTTGATGGACAAAACTATGTATTTTTGTTATACTCCTAAGCATTTTTAATGGAGGTATCAATTTAAGATCTTGCTGACTATGGTATTGAAGCCAGCCTGTGTCTTCTAATAAAATGAAATCCATCTTCTAACAAAATGCTAGTTTGTGGAATTTCCGCATAAAATGTTAGCTGTTTCAAGGCGTGATTGACTGCACATTTCACCTTGATTAACTTGCAGTAATGCACAGAAGGCAGCAGACAGGGTAATAGTATTTTGCAATTCATGCTGTTTCCTTAATCTCAATGTAAAGGATTATTTTATTCATTTGCATTCTGATTATGGAATCCAGAACCATGCTTACTGCCTGCATCTGAAATAAAGGAGCTGACGCTGCTATCAAGCTTATGCAACTATCTATGGAAGCACGCAACATGAAGTTCTCAGTAGATTCTTGAATATCAGTATTATCTCTTAATACAATTTCTCTTTTATGTGATTTCTTTTTTATGTGGCATGACTATAAAGCTGTTACAGTACTTCACGCTATTTTTTCACGAATACTGAAACACTTTTTCTCCACCCTGCTTGACTGTGAGACTAAGGAAAAGTAGCAGGGGAATGCCAGGAAACTAACCTTCTCCAGCAACTTGCAAACTGGATGGAGTTCTGTCTCCATCTCCTCTTTTCTTGTATCATTTTGCTGTTGAGAGAAGTTGCTGGGATGAAACTAAGGTGACATCTGCTGTTGGTCTCTTCTTCAGTAGGTAGGGTGAGCCTCATGTGACACTGTTTTCACTGGCAACTGCATGCGTGGTGCATTTGTAGATGGGGTGCTGGGGGAATACCGGTTTGAAGACTGCTGGGTTAGCTCCCTGATAGCTACCTGATAGAAGCATCACTGTACCCAAACCGGCTGTCTGGAAATGTTGAAATTCAGTATCTGAAATAGGATAACCTTGTTCCCTTAACAATGATGAAAGGGTGTGCCTGATGAGAGTACTACCATAGTATTTTAGATGGTTGTTCTGATATGCATGAATAGATGTGGCCCTTGAAAAGGCATGTCCTGGCTGGCCGCTTGCTCCTGCTGTCTTGTAATGGCACAAGCTGAGTTTTCATCTGGCTCAATTCCCTGATCTGTCTTACTGTAAAAACAATTTTCTGAACATTAAGGAGAGACTGGGGAGCAAGCAGCTGGGGATGCAGGGAGAGTTCAGACCTTGTTCTGGTGGCTGACTCTGTGGTTGTAGCATAGTTGTGTTAAAGCTTCAGCTGAGATCAGATCTATTTTAGAATACAGGGGTGTAAACTTTAACTGCATAGTAGGGCTTAAGGAAGGTAAACACAAAACATTGCATTTTGAGTTGTATCCTGTCTGAAATCAATGCCCAAAGTTTTAAATATTGTGTATTGGACTGCTATTTAAAAGTCAACAATGCACTTCTGAACTGTTATTTTTAAAAATATCTTTTATGATCCCAGATGTCTACTACTTCATACCTTCACTTAGGGCCTTCATCTGCCAGTCCTCAAGTCTGGAGTTGGTACGGTACAGCAGTACAGATTAAAGTCATATGTTCTTTCATCTTTAAAACCTAACCTCTTTGTTACGGTGGAAGAGTCCCACAGAAATAGGAAGGAATTTGCTTAGAAGAATTCTGGACAATTTTATACCTCTGAAAAGAGAGCTTGCTCACAAAAATGTGAGATGATGCACCTATGCCAAGTTAATAGTTTGTAGTAATGGGGGGAGAAGATCGCTTCCTCTTGCATAGTGGGCTTTTTTATTTTTTTTTTTTTTAATGAGAATCTTTCTGTTTATGAACTTCGTAGTTCAATCCTCAGTCTTCCAAAACTAACTCTGATAATCAAGTAAATAGTATTATTTCCTTTGAAGAGATCTTTCAATGTCCCATGATACCAGAACATGATATGAAAAGGACAGAAAGTTTACTGTCATGTTCTGGAAGAATCAACTCTGTTGGTTAAACACTTTGTTAGTACGAAATAATGTAGCTTTTCAAAAAGTGTCGACATTGCTGTGCCATCCTTTCAAGAGTGAAGCCTAACGTGCCTGTCTCTGTTCATGCCTGCATTTAACATGCTGCACAAAATAAAGGATGTTTCAGAATAAACTATGTGGAACTTAAACAGCTGCTTATTTTATTTCTTAAAATGTGTTGGAAGATAGGTGATAATATTGATTAATCTGATTTTTTGTTTGTTTCATGAAGTGAGACAGATTTTGTGTAAGACCTTATGCTTCTATCTCTGAATGTAAGATAGCACTGCATGGGTTGCATTAAGATTTTGTTGTTGTTGCTATTTTTGAGTGTGAAAACAATTAGAAGTCTTTGAAATCAGTAACACAACCAAACTCAACCTTCACCCTGGACACTGTGTTACTTTGCGTTAAACTAACTATACGCTTGCCTTGGGTAAGGGTGTGGGTAGTATCTGAGATGACAGGTGTAAAACTAGAATGATGGAAGTTCAGATGCTTCACCATGCTCCTCAGAAAGGCCTCCTTGGGGTACTGTTGGTTCACCTGTGTTTATCTCTCTTTACTTTCTAGAATATGGTATCAAGTTTTCGTGTTTCTGAACTACAAGTGTTGTTGGGGTTTGCTGGACGTAATAAAAGCGGGCGGAAACATGACCTCCTGATGAGGGCACTGCACTTACTGAAGAGCGGCTGCAGCCCGGCAGTTCAGATAAAAATCCGAGAACTTTATAGGCGTCGGTACCCAAGGACGATTGAAGGACTTTCGGACTTATCAGCTATAAAACCTGCGGTTTTCAATTTGGACAATAGTTCCTCTCCTGTCGAGCCTGACCTGGCTGTTGCTGGCATTCACCCACTCCCTTCTACTTCAGTCACGCCTCAGTCTCCTTCCTCGCCTGTCAGTTCTGTGCTCCTCCAAGATACTAAGCCCCACTTTGAGATGCAGCAGCCATCCCCTCCGATTCCACCCGTTCATCCCGATGTTCAACTGAAAAGCTTACCTTTTTACGATGTGCTTGATGTGCTCATAAAACCTACAAGTCTAGGTAAGTGTTTAATAGCTCTGCAGGTTGCTTAATTCATGAAATAGGTGTTGCTTATGGCAGTACTAAGTCCAGACTTAAATGGCTTTTTGCGGCTGGGGAAAAGTGGAAACTCCCTTCCCTTCTCGTCTCTACCCTTGCCCTCTCTTCACTACTTGTCCCCAAAAGTGCCAAGCCACACTTCAGAAAATAGTGTTCTCTTTTGTAAATATTATATGATTTAAGATCTTTGGCTTTTGGATATTCAATTATAGAGTAGAATAGTTCAGTTGGAAAGTACCTACGGTGATCATCTAGCTGCCTGACCACTTCAGGGCTGACCACAAGTTAAAGAGTAATAGTTAAGGGCATTGTCCAAATGCCTCTTACACACTGACAGGCTTGGGGCATTGGCCACCTCTCTAGGAAGCCTGTTCCGGTGTTTGACTACCCTCATGGTAAAGAAATGCATCCTAATATCTAGTCTGAACCTCCACTTTTGGCTGAAAGATTTGGACCTGAAGTCTCTGCCTGGTACAAGTGAGGAAAACACGTGTCAGGGCCAACAGGAAAAGGATTTCAGGGTCGGAAATTAATAAGTTGCAACGTAAAGAGAACAAGTTCACTGGTTTGTTAGTTTACTCTTATCTCACTGCAACAATTCTGCAGGTTCTGACATCTGGCACTGAAATAGATACTTTGTGCAGCAAAGTCCAGTGTTGTACTCAGATTAGTGAAGGTTTCTCAGCCTACGGGTTGTTGCCATGCTGTATGTTAAAATGTGGAGCGCACCTTTGTCTTCCAAATAACCTGAAATCTCAAGCTTCCTCAAACGCCTCACTCTTAAACTTATTTAATTATTTGAAAATACATTGTTTTCTGTCTTGAAATTCAACCTGTCTTATGTTACATGGTAAAAAATGTTCCCTAACTGTTTTAGCAATATTGTTTAGAAACACTTCAGCATTTTGCAAGCTGTTTGCATCCTCTTAAACATTTTCGTTTCTTAACTGATAATAGAGGCTGTGACTTGTACCTCAGTGAGGCATACACTGATCATTGGTCATCCTCCAGTACCTAAAGCAGCAAACATTACTAACATGCATTTTTTACAATGCCTGTTGTCACTGTTTGTGTGTCGTGACACCCTGTTAGAGAAAAGTTTAATACCCAACCCGTGTATTGGTACAATAGCTGCTGTGGTGTTGGACAGCTCTATGGCTCATGCTGCCATTACGTTTACAGAGATAATATGTCAGTGCCACGGTGTCCTGGCTAGCTCATGCTCACTGTGCGCAGTAGCTGAGTATCTTAACTAGTTTCCTGAATTGTTCTGTGTTATGGGACAACTGTTGGCTCGGTTAACCAGACTGGTTGCCAGCCACATAGTCACTCTGTCCCATATAATGCAGCGTGTGTTCCGCGTTGTATTTCTGCTATGCCATTACCTTTTGTTTCCTGGTCAATGATATCTAAAGGTGGCAGTGATATGAAATTTCCCCAACAGCTGTTTTCCTCAACTTTGGAAGTGATCCTTTTTTTCTGAAAGGAGTATGCTTCCTTAGGGGTGTCACCATGTTATAGTTAGAGCTGCATGTAAATTCCTCTTTCCCCTGAAGACTGTAGGCTCTTTGCCCGTTGCCCAGTTTTCATAGGAGTGAGCATTATCTAGTCCTGTAACATTTGGATCCTTTTAGGATATGGGTGAGGGGGACAAGATTAATTTAACTGAGTACTTGCTTGCCTTCAAACTCTTTCCAGAGCACAGTACCTGAAGGTGGCAGCAGCCAGAGCTACAACTCAGGTTTGTGTGAGAAGGAGTGAGGAAATGAGATGTGAGGACTGGCTTGATATGCAAATAGTGGGCCCTTCTGATGTTAGAACGATATGAACATTGGCTGAAAATCACTCTTAACATGGATTCATGAGCAAATTTGGAAATGACGCTTCCTTTATTTAATATTTTTAGATTGATATGGGTAACTTATATTCCCAGTTAGTAGACCTGGGTGATTGGGACATGGAACAAACACGTTTTTTGTTCTTGAGAATTAAGAATTCAGAAATCAAATAGGTCCGAGAGCTAGGAGTATAGTCTGCTTCACTGCGACTCTTAAAAAAAAAAAAAAAAAAAAAAAAAAAAAAAAAAAAAAAAAAAAGAGAGAGAGAAAAAGAGTGTAGGTATTCTTTTGTGCTAATATGAGAACACAAGAACAGGTGTAGGTGTGGGGTTTAGTTTTAACCCACACTCAATTCAATAACAAAATATTTCCATGATCTTTTTTACATGTGCTCAAGTATTATTTTAAAATACAAAATGCTGTCTGTGGGGGGTGTGTGCGCACATATGTGCACAGTGTAGCTGTTTTGAATTGTTTGAGGAACTTGGTGTGTGTGTTTGTTCCAGCTGGGTTCTATTTCATGTTTGTGTCCTTTTTGTGTGTGTTTTCTGGGCATAGAGATCATCTTCTCTGAATGTCACAGTGTACAAGACAGTCTAGCTCTTCCAAATTTGCCTGGTTTAGTTGTGCCATTTTTGCATTTGTCCTCCTTGCTGGTAACTTTAAACTGTTGGACAAGTCCAATCTACCTTTATTTCAGATCAAGGTTTCTAACTTCTCAAGTCGAAAGAAGGTAGAAAAGTGACGTGCATACTATGAACCCTTAATACTAAAATATTGCTGCTTCCCATCGCTGACAGACAAGTAGGATTCTGATGTGAAAGTTGTATTTATTTATCTTTTTGCCAAGTGCTACTGAGGGGTAATTCCCAGACAAGAAGTCTAGCTGGCTTCCCTGGCATTAGGAGTTGTGCTCCATCCCTTCCTCCCCAAAAGCTTAGTTACCTTTAGCTGTTTCTGAATTGATTTTTTTTCCAGCTGTCCATTAATAACTTCTGGTGCACGTTCTCTTTTTGTAGTACATTAAAATAATGTACTACATTATTTTAAACATCTCTGTGGTACTCTTTTCGTCAGGTATCTAGTGTTATATTTTGTTGTGTGTTTGTTTGAACGTGGCTTGCCAAGCTTCTTTAGTGCTGAAGTGTAATGTGATATTAAGCCATCTGAATATACTTGAATGAATGATTTGTTCCATTGCTTTCCTATTGACAGTTACATGCAGTTAAACCACAATTTGATTATATTAAGTGACTTATGCCTTGTTCCAGGAAAAACTCAACTGCAGATCCTGTTTTAATCAATGACTTTAATCACCTTGGTTTAAACCTCTTTTGTGTCTTTTTTTTTTTTTTCTAGTACAGAGCAGTATTCAGAGGTTCCAAGAGAAGTTTTTTATCTTTGCTTTAACACCTCAGCAGGTCAGAGAAATCTGTATTTCCAGGTAAGAAGTAAGAGTGTGGTATAGTGTAGGTAAACTTTTGCAAAATTTCAGGAGGAAGTGTGGGGTTTTTGGCTCATTTTATGCATCGCATAAGCTTGCAGATGCAGAGTGATAATCCTCACCGAAGTTATCCTGAGTTTATCTGTTCTGTTTTCTTCAGGAACTACTGTGCACAGAATTTATGTACAGTTGGGGTAAATGCTACGCCACTAAAGAGTTAACAGTTACTCTGTTCCAAATAATTGTGACTATTCAGAGAGGTGGTAAGCTTTTCTTCCCTGCATGTTTCCTGGCTGCAGAAATGGAAGGCTGCTTTTATCTTTTGTCCCAGGGTTCATGTTGTTGTAAGACCTATGGTGTAAGCCAAGAGAATTCATAGGGTTTTTTCCTCTCTGGCAACATCATACTTTATTGTTACTGTAAACTCTTGACAGATGATGCTGATCCTAAAGTCCTGCTTAACTTGCAGTAGCTAAACAGAGGTGTCGCTTCTAAGACTTATTCATAGCTCAATAAAAGAAAAATAAGAGCAAAGTTTAGTGATGTTGGGGCAGACGTGCCAGTTCTTTCTGCGTATGACTGGAATATGAGATCTGCTGTCTAAATAGGTACTTCTCTTTTTCTTTCTCTTTGTCACAGGGACTTTTTGCCAGGGGGCAGGAGAGATTACACAGTCCAAGTTCAGCTAAGGTACCTTTTTCGTAGTGTTCTCTTATAACTTCTTAATTGGCTAATGTAACGTAAGTCTAGATGTGGGGACATATGAATGCGGTGACACTTGAAAATGACGCTTTCTCTTTTTGGGGATATAGGTTATGCCTAGCAGAGACAAGCTGCCCTCAAGAAGATAATTACCCTAATAGTTTGTGTATTAAAGTAAATGGGAAGCTGTTTCCGTTGCCGGTAAGCTTGTTTGTACGTACTTGTGGCTTCTTTGTGACTTGGGGTGTGTGTGTTTTTTCTGTAATGTTAGCTTGCTAAAACAATCAAGCTTATTGTTATTACTCAAATTTCTCTAGTTACTAATGTTAGCCATATGGTTTGTACATTTGCTGTGTGAGATAGCCATTACTACTAGTAATCATGTTACAGCCACTGCACGGATTAATTGTGTTTTAGCCACCTATAGCAAACCTCATCTGTTGCAGCTAATACAACAAAATATGTCAAAAACAAACCAGTGTCTGCATGGGGAATCCTCCTCATAGGTCTTCAAACTGAGTTTATTTGACTTGATTGGTAGTAGCCCTCGCTGTTCGGGCTATCTATATTTGCGGTTGGCTTGAGCTCCCTCTTGTTACGAGGCAATGGTATCACCTTCTTGCGCACAAGTTTGTACGCTGCTCTGCATCTGTCTGGTTAGAGCAGAGTTCATTGCGGGGATGAAGAACAGACACATTTGAGGGTTCCTAGCATTTGCTGATACTGGAACAGACAGTGTTGGCAGTCATACGCTTTACTGGTCTGATGTTGCAAAAGTTATACATAGGCAGGGTCACCTCAAGGCTTCAATATATACAAAAAGGGAAAAGCACTCTCGTTATTCTTGAAAAATCTCTGGAATGGGTATCTCTGTACAATAGAACAGAGAGAAACTCTTACACAACCCATTCTGAAATAGTTCTGGAAGCTATAGAAGATAGTAGTAGGAAAAAGTAGTAGTACAGCGATTTTTTTTCAGCAGTGGGTTTGGAAAAATGCTGTGTGGAGAGAGGAGGCGTGAAACCTCTTTTTCAGAATGTTTGTCACCTTCTTGGTGTGTCAGATGTGTTGTCCTGTACCCTCCCTCCTGCCGTATGCAACCATGACTGCTTTTTTTTGCCTCTACTCAGCTTAAATGAGACTCTCTAGCTTCTCTTCCCCCTACTTCTTTAACCATTGCATCACTGTTCTTCTGTCTGTCTTCAGTGTGTAAGAGGATTTCTTTCATGTTTTCTGGTTAGTATTTTCTGCAAATGCCAATTATGTTCTCTGTGACAAACTTCAGGATTTTCTCCTTTCTTCTGCAGATTGTCTTCCTTTCTTTAAGCAACCCGCCAAAAAGAATTGGGTCTGATGTTATCCTGTGGACATCAATGTCTGCTGGTTCTCAGTCTTGCTAACACAGTTTACACCCTTCTATGCTGTGTTATGCTATCCATTTTGTGCGTAACATACGTCACAGTTGTAGCAAAAATTGTTTGTAATCTTGGATTATTGCTTTGCTTTAGATCTAAATCCTGTAGGTTCTTCCTGCACTTCATAAGATGATTCTTTAAACTGTTCAGCAGAAACTTTAGGTGAGAAAGTGAATAAATGACTATTGTCTTGGCAACTTCCTTTCCTCTCCTCCTTCAGTATGAGCTGAATGACAAACATGGTCTCAGTCCTAGTGCACCTGCAAACATTTTCTGTTGATTTGGTCACTGTCTGCATCCCTCTGGTGGTTCCTTTCTGTTGCAGGAACTGTAAGGTAACTTCTTTGCCTCAAAGACCCTTATTGTCCAACTCTGTAGTGTTGGTGTTAGGTAATTAATCAGTGATGCCAGCCTCTATTGCCAACTTGTACAATTCTTAAGTGAGTACTGTTCTGTCTTTCCCTGGTATAGCAGTTCATGCCTCTGCAGATGTCTAAATTATTCTTGGTCATTTCCTTGGCTGCAGTCCTTATCAAAAACCTTAGAGAAATGCTGCCAGTGTGCCAGTACCGCTTCAGGTTGTGTCAGCTCATGTTAACACGGAGTTTTCTTGTATTCCTACAACTATCTGTGTCTTCCTCTTACAGTGTCAGTTCTGACTTAAAAGGAGTGAATGTAGAGCCTTGCACGCTGGTGTCTTGGCAAGTAACAAGGATTTTATACATAATGTGCTATAGCAGGTGGTTCTCCTGTTGACTTCTCTTGTAGGCAAGACAAAACGCGAAAGTCCAAAAAGGTAATTTGCTTTTCTTCTCAGGGGACCTCCACAGACCACTGCAAGTCTCTTTCAAAGGACAAAATCAAATATGCCAGGGCAGATTGGAAATAGCCAGATAGAAGAGCAATCACGCTTTCTGTTGATAGATTTTCTGGCTGTAGCAGATTCCACCTGCTTTGACTAATATGCTTCTTGCAAGAAGCGTGGAAGACTTAAAGACCCAAATAATGTTGGCACTTGCTAGCCACTGGAATTGGCAGCCTAACTAAACAGTGGTAGACCATGCTGGTTGTGATAGGTGAGCAGAGTGGTCTTTACCTAAGTCCTGGAAGGGCTGGGAAGGGAAGGTTTTAAAGCGTTCTAGGAGTACAAGATTGAATCTGATCTCAAGGTCATTGCTCTGTGGAAGAAAACATCAAAAGCTTGACTGAAATGAAGCATGTTGTGCTGCAGAGTCTGTCTCTGAAAAAGAAAAAAAAGTTGGGAAATATAAGAAAACTTGCATCCTTGCTGTTTTGAAAGCAAGGCAGCTTCCTTTTAGGTTGGAGAGCAGCAGGATTATTGTGGCTGGTATAGTATGTGTGGAAACACTCTCCTAAATATTGTAGGGATGGTGTGTTCATTCACATCAGCTCGTTTTAAAGTCACCATAGTAGAGAAAGGCCTACTACAGCAAAGCAATTGGGATATATACTCTATAAATGGCTGCAGCTATTATGTCTGATTAAAGAAATGGCAAATCATTCATTCTTTTAAATGTGAAATTGTCAGCAGTCCCCATACAGCTGCTGCCTCTATGTTCTGTGATAAAGCACACATGGTAAGATTCCTGATAGCTACTGGGTCACTCATCATCTGAGTTAGAGAGAGTTCTTCAGCAATTGCTGTCTGCCGCTCTGGCCTGGCAGACCTGCCTGTAGAAGATAGAGTCCTTATTCTGTCACTGCAAGCAAGAGTCCTTAATAAAGGGCAGTGGTGAGGCACAGCCAGAGCTTGGTGATCAGGTGAAATGTATGGACTAGTAATAGAGCTGCTTTGGAAACCTAGGAAATGATGTGACAACTATTGAGTCCTCCTTGGATTAAAGGCAGTGATTATCCTATGGTATACTTGGCTAGTGAGTGGAAGAGGCTGTTTATTTCTGTTTTTTATTTTCAGACTTAGTCTTTCAAAGTAACTCTTTTTCCAAGCACTAGGCTGTGAATGTGTCTGTTTCTCTGGTTAAAAAAAATACATGTGTGTGTGTTTTTCCAGCATATTTTTTCTGGGAGATCTTCTTGTATCAAGCAACACTGTCTTGAACTAAGTGAAATCTGGCAGTCAGTTCTGTGCAAGACAGAGGGCTGCAATCTTTTATTGGCATCCTTCTGGTGCAGGATGAGTTTTTGAGATGAGTGGACTGCAGGTTGTCTGTGTGAGCTCAGAACAGAGATTCTCAGAGTTCCTGTTACAAGACTGGCTTGCTTTCACAGTGACAGATGCAGGGTGAGATGAATAAGCTGCAGTTAGGCTGTGTGCTCCTTCACGTAGCACCAGTACTTTCTGCTCACGATATGCTGGAGAGCATGTGCTTGCCTAGAAGCCAAAGGGAGCCGGATGGCTCCTGATTCAATTCGCAAGCATGATATACGAAATAAAACTACAGAGAAAAGCAGTCTAGGTTATGAAACTCTTCAAAGCTGAGCAAACAATACCTAGTTTATTTTGTTTCTGCAGACAACAGCAAAGCCTATTAGCTCTTAAATACAGCTGATATTCCAGGTACAGCTCTTCGGGGACCTTGGCAGATAACAATCTGTTGCTAATGGGGCTAGTGTAGTTGATCTGAGGCAAAGCAGACACCAAGGAGATGCGAAGCTTTTGGAACAGGGCTTTATTGTTTCTTAGATAGAATCAACAAAGTGTTTTCCGGGTGTGAAACACTGAATTAACTCTTAAGACTTGCTGTGTTTGTCACTAAGGCTGTGTCCTTGCGATGTTCTGCTCTCTTTCAGTGGGGTGGGGGAAAGAAAGGACGAAGCATCAACACTGCTTTTTACTCTTCTAGTAAACTTACCTGGACCAAAACCTGTTCTCTTCCACTTTTTCAGCACTTCCGTAAAACCACGTTAAAACCTAAAAAGACTTTAAAATTGTGGCTGACTTATGGTATCAGATTGTTAAAGACTGATATTTCTCAGAGTAAGTGTAGAACTTAGTCTCCAGCCTGGAGAGCCTCTAGGTTTACCTGCTTCCCATAGATCTGTTTAAAACTAACAAGTCTGTTTCAGAGTACAGCGCAGAGACTTGGTAACACTTTCCTTGTCCTTTCTTCCCATAGGGATACGCTCCACCGCCAAAAAATGGAATTGAACAGAAGCGACCTGGGCGCCCTTTGAATATAACATCTCTAGTTAGGTTGTCATCAGCAGTGCCAAACCAGATTTCCATTTCCTGGGCTTCTGAAATTGGAAAGGTAAACTGTATGTTCTGTAGGACGTGGAAAGTTATCTAAATAACCTCATCTAGCATTCCTTCTCCCCCACTGCCTGATGTTGCTGGCAAGGCATACACCAGCAAGCATTTAGTATTAAGTGGCTGAATTTATTACCAGTGCCAGGAAAAAAAGTTTGCTCTAGAAGTATTGTAGTTTACAGTAATGTACATAAAACTTGCATACAGACTCCAAAGACTCCCTTATAGAATTCACATTAGACAGCCTCCTGTTAGGGGTTGCCTGAAATGTGTGTCAAAAATACCAAAATCTTTTTGTGGTGTAAATAGTACAAAACAGTTCAGACGTGACAAAATAACACTTCTCAGTATCTGTTGTAACTGTCCATTCGAGAAGGCTTTTTAAACTGACCAGATGTGCCAAGGCTGTGGGGGTGGAGACATGCATTTGCTTTTGAGGTTTTTCTGTTTTCTAACGAAGTAATTCTAAGTAGTTTTACAAAAGCAATTTTTATTTCCTAGGAAGAACTGCTTAATGGGTATTTCCATCTCTTTTATTTTGAGATTCCTTTTTTACATGAAAATGGCCTCTCTATGAGTTGATTTTAAATTGTACTTGCAAATAAACCAAAACAGGGTGAAATTTCCAGCTCAGAAAGCCTTAGATGGCAGGTTGCTGGGAAGGGTTTACTGGGGAGGTGTCAGGCTGCTGATGTCAGCTATTTCTGGGCTTGATGGATCTCAGACATGCTTGGTTGGACCGTACTTGTGTGCTGCGTGCGTTTGTAATGCAGGGTATCCGAGCAGTGTGTGTTTTCTTACAAATGAAGAGTATTTTGGAAGTTTGGGTGACTTGAGGGACAAGTGACTCAATGTGGGGAAGGGTGGAGAGCTGGGAAAGAAAATGAAAATTGAAGCCTCTTCATAATGCAGTTCTAAACTTCAACGGAAAGCTGTAGTGGGGGAAAAGCATGCTAGACTTCAGGTGGCAGGAGATGAAGGGGGTGGTGATGGAAATGTGATACCTGTTGCTTTCTAGTGCCTGCAGTCATTAATCATAGTTGAAAAGGAATTAGCCTTTAAAATGGCTGTGTGGCTGTTTAGAAATCCCCCTATGGATTTACTAAGGAAAGAAAGGGAGAGTGTGAGGAATTCCTGAATTCTTCCTAGTTTAAATAGCTGTTGCAGCAGCCCTTTCAGCTGTTGGTAAGTCAAGAACTACTTATTCCTCTATCTGTCACTAGTTGTGTAAATCCTTCTGGATTCAATTACCAAAGTAGCTTACCTCTTACTTTTGTCTTCAAAATCAAAATCTGTGGACCAGAGACACCACGTTTCAAAGTGAGACTCCAGTATAAGCTTTTATACACTAAAATTTAAAAAAGAAATTGGAGAGAAAGCTAATGTTCAGAAGATAAATGAAGGGCAGTGCTGACAGCAAAGTTTTGTTTTCTGTTTTTTTTTTTCTAAAACGGAGGTGGAGGGAAAGATCTAAGCCATTGCTTCCCATTTTAGCTTCAAATGACGGCAGGGTTGTGTGTGGTCTGGCCCTTTCTTGCTGACCCCTGCTTTCTTCCCCCTGTATCTGCCAAAACATATTCTCATGGTAGCAGATGAATTGGAGGTTGTCCCAGCCAACCAGCAGATGAATTGGAGGTTGTCCCCCTTGCCCTGAGCGGTAAAGTGAGTTCTCTGGTTTAATGTTGGTGCTCTGCCCTAAGCATACTGGCATAGCGGCCGTCGCTGTTCATCCTCTAAATGGGGCCCTTGGGGACAGTGTGGGCTGTCAGCGGGCTCACATGGTAAGAGCTTATTGGCATGTATTTGACTGATAGTGGTGGGCTTCTGAGCAAAGGAGGCATTAATCCCACAGAGGTAGTCAGACCTGAGCCTATAGAATTCTTCCTGTAGGCAATAAACAGTGCAATGTATAGTCATTCTTTAAGGGGGGTGTGTGGAAATCTGTTTTTCTTAGTAGTTTCCCGTGCATTTAGATAACTTTATCTGCTCATCTAGGTAAGAGCTGGTTTTCCTATAGGTGGTAAAGGAGGAGCAGGGCAGTAGGTGGTGTTTAAAATTTTTGTGCAGTACACAGACAGTATAGGAGCTATAAGAAGGTGGCTGGCAGGGAGTGGAAATAAGAGATTGTGTTTGTTATACAGATGAAACCATTATTATTCTGTAGTAGTGGGACTTGCAGAATTTTCTCTTCATTAGTGACCTTGAAGAGAGAGTGAACACTGAACAAAAGAAGCTGGCAAGCGGTGTGAATTAGGGAAGAGTAGTAAATGCTAGGGAATGTGGCCAGCCTCGGAGGAGTGGGTATGGTGTAATGAGGCTTGGCTTAAAAGTGCAGAGCAAGCTAAAGAAGAGGTACAAATAAATTGGTGCAGCTGTGTGCCATTTGAAGGTGTTGTGTTTGCACCTGAAAGAGCGTTCATCTTTTCTTTTGTCACTTGATTGGCTTTGAGCTCCCCGCTAACAGATTGACACTGAAAAAAGGGAAGGATTTAGGAGATAAACGTGAGAAGTTCTTAAAGACGGCATGTATGAGAAGGTGTGTCACCAGTCTAAAGCACCTTTCGAAGAAAAGAGCCCAGATTGTCTCTTGGTTGTGGAGTTATTCTTAGTTAAGTCACAACTGGAATAGGAAAATTGGACTTGATTGGCAGGAGAATTCTGGCAGAGTATTGGACTCCTTCACAGTAATGAAGTCGTCTGACAATGCTTTTCATAACTATTAAGCAACAAATGGGCATGTTTTTAGTTTTTACTGTATGCTACAGCTAGTGTAAATAGTACTTCCACTATGACAAGAGAGTACTGTATGAAATCAATATTTAATCTTTAATCACTCTTTTTGTAGAATTACTCCATGTCCGTGTATCTTGTTCGTCAGCTCACTTCAGCTATGCTTTTGCAGAGGTTAAAAATGAAAGGTATCAGAAACCCCGATCATTCCAGAGCACTAAGTAAGTCAAATTAATTTGCATGTCTGTACTTTTTGAGGGTGGTCAATGGCTCTTTAAAACTAGAACTGGTAATACTTAGGGGATTTGCAGCATCTTGAAAAGAAAGTCCCAGAGTATCAAAGATTCCCTTTGCTGCTGCTGAGGCATCATGCACTTTTTTAGCGAGGGTCCCTGAGGCGGTAAAGAGGCACACCTAGGGATCCCATCTGAAATGTTCTTACACGAATGCCAGGAGCACCACTTACTGTGGTAGGCTGTGAGGTGCAGGTAGATGTCCTAAATATGGGTTCTCTTCACTTGCATGTGACGTTGATTGTCTCTGTACCTCACTCACTGATGATTATTTATCTCTTCACGTGTTGGGTTGAGTTTGCTCTACTAACCGTTGTGGCTGTTAGTGCCTCTACTGCGCATCAAACAATCTTGCGATGCATAGTGTTTGCCAGTCACTTATAAATAGTGAAACTATTGTTGTTTGATATTGCTATGAACTAGTTTCCTAGATGCTTAATTGTTTTAGATAGCTGGAAATAAAGTACATGTACTGGCGAATCAAGGTTAGCATTTCAAATAATGATGTCTCTGTATAACTTCTTAATTTATTTTAATAGTTAAAGAAAAACTAACTGCAGATCCTGATAGTGAGATTGCCACAACCAGTCTGCGGGTATCTCTGATGTGTCCTGTAAGTATGGCTGGAAATTACCATGTGCAGATTTGTGCATTCACCTTTAGTGCAGAGTTGGGCTGCTTTTAGAAGGCCCTGCTTTAGGAACTTCATTGGCTTTTGGTTTATAACTGATTCATTAATATAAAATAGCGTGGAGAAGTGTGCATCTACAAGCACCTGATTGTAGCAGCATTCAACCAAGTATGGTTTGGAACTGTGAATGCTTCAGTTGTAATGTAGTCAGAATCAAGTTGCTACTCATGTGTGTATAGTGAGGCCTTTAAAAGGAGTAATCTTGTATATTGAGGTGTTGAGACTAATAGGGCAGGGTGACAGAATAATTAAAGGGCACAGTGATAAATAAAACTTTGGATCTCCTCACCTTGGTGGTATTGCTTATATTGCCAGCTACTATAACAAACAAAAAAATGGATCACTGTGTAAGGACGTAATGCTGCATTGGGGTTTCTCTTCCCAGGTAGAAACTGGCCTTGTGTTAGTGACTGGTCTGTTAAGTCAAATGTTAAAATGGGTATAATGCCATTCCGAGTCTAACATAACTGGAGCTCACAAAAACGCTTGAAATATTTGGCTAAAAGAAAATTATAAAGCGGGTGCTTCAGAGGTCTTTTAATAAAAATAAAATCCTAGAAGTAACATTGATGCAGGTCCATTAGAAATGTTTCAGACTGTTTTCGACTCAGTGAAGACTTTGAGGATGGCTTTATTGTTCCTTTAAGTGCACCGTACGTGCTTTGATAGGGTGGATTTGCCTGCAGCGACCTTAGCACTGGGCACCTCTGTAGTGAGAAGAGACAGTTACTTCACCGACTGCCTCTGATTTCGTTGTTAGCCACCAGGCCTACTTCACTGTCTTCTGTTCTGACACTCTTTAAATGCATCTCCTGCAGCTGGGAAAAATGAGACTGACAATCCCATGCCGGGCTGTTACTTGCACACACCTGCAATGTTTTGATGCTGCTCTTTATCTTCAAATGAATGAAAAGAAGCCTACCTGGATCTGCCCTGTCTGTGACAAAAAGGCAGCTTATGAGAGCCTAATATTAGATGGGTAAGAGACTGGGTTTGCAGATTACACAATTACTTAAAATTTTTCATGATGTACTTGATAGCTACTTCTGTGACTCGAGGTTTAGCCATTTCATACTATTTTCTTTGTCAAAATACTTTAGACTAGGAGGAACCATTAGACTCTGTTAGTTTCTAATCCCAAGTAACAAACTATGTAAGTTTATCTCCTAACTGCATCATCAAACTCTTGAGCCTCAGTATATTTATCATAGAAGAGAATTATAGAATCGTTTAGGTCAGAAAAGACCTT